AAAAAAGAAGAGTCAGAAAAAAAGAGACACAAAGAAAAACTAGCAAAAATAAATAATGAAGCAAAAGAAAAGAAAAAAAATGAAGATAATGAAAATAAAAAAAGATTAAAAGAAATATATGACAAAGCAAAAGAACTAAACAACAAAGAAATAGATAGAGCAAAAGAGCTAAAAACAAAGCTCATAATGCAAAAGAAGAATTAAATGCGACTACAGAGCAAGAATCTTCAAGGCAAGATAAAATACAAGAAATACAAGACGAAGTAAAGAAGTTTAAATTGGAAAGAAGAAGACAATGGGATGAATATTACATGAAGATAGCCTGTTAAGCTGCTTTAAGAAGCAAAGATCCCAGGACACCAGTAAGCTAATAATAATTAATCCTATTTATACATATCATAACAGGTTGGTGCATGCATTGTTGACAGAGAAAATGGACAAATAGTTGGGATTGGTTATAATTCCATGCCAAAAGATAAAGATTTTACTTGGAAAGGTGCAAGTTCTCGGAGTGAAATAAATTCAATTAATCCTAAATTAAAATATGCCTATGGTAAGTATTTAAAATAAAAATTTTGAAAAAATTTCTTTTAATAATAAAGAAAGAGACAATAAAGTTATTTTCTATAGTTGTTCATGCAGTAGTTAATGCTATCCTTAACAAGACGAGAGAGAGTATCAAAGGATGTATATTATACACAACACTGCATCCTGATGAAGACTGTGCTCATGCAATGATACAAGCTGAAATGAAAGAAGTTGTTTACTGTATGTACACAAGGAAAGATGAACTGGATCCTGATCAGAAAAAAGCACAAGTTATTTTTGAAATAAAAAAGATTCAATACAGGTATACATGTAACTCAATATCTCAGTGTAACTTGAAATGTCTTTTAATTTAAGGGAATTGCCACAAAATGATGATTTTAAAGATGATAAGTATGTGAAAGAATTACAAAGAAGGATTGAACAAGGTAAAAAAGAAAAAGAAGATGCAAAGAGAGAACCTGAACCAGCAACAGCTATGCCACCAGAAAAATTCTTTATGAGAATGGCAAAACTTAGCCAAAAAAGACCAGGAGATTTTCAAAACAAAGCAGTAAGTAATAGCCTGATTCACAATCACAACTACATGTATATGCTGTACAAGATGATTTATTGGCAAGAATAATATTTGGTAAATTTGCCTGTGGAAAATTAATTGGATATTGCAGATTCAAACAAAATGGCAGATTTTCAATTGGCAATTTCTGCTTAGAACAGCCAATCGCTAATATTCATTCCTCACCAATAAATCATCTTGCAAGGTACATGTACATGTAGTTCAAATGTATTATGTGTACATGCAAAGCTACATGTACATTTCAGTCACTCTTTTTATCATGCTTAATAGGTAGGAGCATGTATAGCGACACCAAACAAACAAATAGTGGCTGTGGAATACAGTGGTGAACCTGATGGTATACAACTTGAAATTGAAAGAAAAGCAAAAGAATTACATCCAGGGCTACATATGAGTAATGATTCAAGCTTTTGTAAGTAACTTAATTACTATAACTAATACATTCATCAAAATAATTGCAATTAATAGTTGTACATGCTGAATACAGAGCAATTGTGGGTAGATCAGTTAGAGGATGTACACTATATGTCACCTCATATCCATGCAATGTGTGTGCTAAAGTTATAGTAGAGTCTGGTATAAAAGAGGTGGTATATTATAAAGATGGATATTGCCGGAATGATGATCGATACAAGAGCTCAAGAAAAATATTGACTACTTGTTTAGATCCTTCAAACATAAGGTTGGTTTCATTGTATGTGGTTTAATAAGCTTTTTTGATAGAAAATATGGGAATGGAGGCAGCAGAAATGAGATTCAAGATGAAGCAAGTCGCAGCATTGCTATTGAAGGACCAGGCCATACTTACTTTGGAAAGATAATAATAACTGATGTGCAGTAGTGAAATAGTGAATCATAATGTTACAAAACATTATTATTATTATATTAGTATTACCAAGAGTATATAATATATAAAGAGAGTATCGAACGGCCCTATAGAAGACTACTGCATGAGGGCGTATTTGCTCAAAGTCACAATCCGCATACTC